GACCGCTGGCTCCGCTCTGTGAAGAGCAGTCCCCGGGGAAACTTGGTTGGGTGGCTTTCACTTCTGGACCTGGCGGGAACCACGTGGGCACTGAGGGCCGCCTGTTCAGCCCCTCACCTCTGTGGCTGCCTGAGGGTATAGCCGGGGGTCTGTGGGGCCCAGCACGTCCCGTTCCTGTAGCCCCGCGGCCTCTGGGAGGCTGTTTTCACAGAGTCACCAAATACCTGCTTACCTGCTCCGCAAGGCTCTGAGCTGGATCCAAAAAGGAAACAGCATTGCTGCCTTACAGGCGCTTGTCCGTTTAGGAGAAGGAAGAGCCATGCGTATACCTACGGTGTAAAGTGGGGAATAGTAAATGCCAAAGACAGCCGGAGAAGGCAAGGGAAAGGACAAACACGGTGGCTGAGCCAGTCACCATCTAAAGATCGGAGGAGAAAGTGCCACTGGGCAGGGTGGCCAGGGAGGCCTTACAGGTGCCCTGGGGACAGGGGTGAGGTGGGCGCTCCTTCTGGGCGAAGGGGCCTCGACCTGGCCTCTGCATGTGGTGGAGGGAGGCCAGTGAGGGACATGAACCTGAAGAACAGAGTCAGACCAGATCAGGGAATGTGGGGAATGTTGCCCAAGGATTCCGCTTGGATTCCGCTTCCCTCTAGAAATTGTCAGTGAAAGCATTTAAACAACTGCAGCTGAGGAAGGAGTATCGGGTCTGCCTGGTAGCAGTTCAGTTCACCCCATGTCCTCCTCGCTAATTCTGAGGATTTCTGGCAAGCCAGAGGAAGTTTAGTGCCTAAAGATGTGGCACTGAGAAGCTGGAACGTGCATAGGCGTGTGTGTGCACGTGCTTGTGTGTAGGTGTGTGTGTTTAAATCCTTGTTAAATCCATGTGAACACTCAGCATGCGTTCTGTTGTGTAATAGGCGTGTGCGGGACCAAGCTTACTCCTAGGCGGGTCAGACTTTCTTTCTAGGCCAGCGATCCGCCCGTGTGAGTCATGGGGTGCTGCAATGCAGAGGGGTGCCATCCTCTCTGCCGCCGACTCCCTGCCTGGGGCTCATCCGAGGTAGCCTCGAAGCATGTTGGAGGTGGCACCTGCAGGAGAAAAGCCTGGAACCTTTCTTCGGCTGGCATGGGGTCATGAGAAGTCACAGCCTTTGAAACCTAGAAGGGTTTCAGCCTCCTGCTTTTAGCTGAGCTGACCTCAAACTGGCGCAGGAAGGTGGAAATCACACCTGTTCCAGTAGCATGTCGCTCACTGCTGCTGAGTACTTTTCCATTGTTCATTCCTGAGGTGAGAAGTAGAGTCTCGGGATCACCCAGCCCTACTGGTGTCAGGCACTGAGTAGAATTATATCCCAGATTGCAGATGAACCTTTTCTGTGATTTCTGAGCAGACACTGGTGTGACTCTGGGAGGCTGTGGCTTTCTTCATTAAAGTTAATACTCCTTTTATTAAATCCTAGGAAAGATAGGTACATCTGAGCGGACGGAGTCAGAATCTTGTGGCATGCGCATCGTATTCACTTCCCGTGCTATGGAGGAATCTTGGAAAATAGGAGTGAGTCTGGAAGTCAGGACTCGGTGGACCAGAACGTCACAATGAAAATAGTGGAAGGATCTGAGATGTTTGGCTTGGAGAAATGACAAGTTTCTCTTTTTATTTTTGTTTTTCAGGCATAGGGGTGGTGGAATGTAGATTATGTTAAAATATTTACAGGGTGGTTAGCAAAGTGTGAAATGAGATCTGTTTGCTGAACGGTTACACCTTAGTAGCATCAAGGGCTGCGTGGCACCTGCAGGCTGGGAGATTTTGACTTCGTGTGAAATAATCACATCGGTTTGAAAAAGAACGAACTGGTTTGGAAGGTCCTCCTTTGTGGGGTTGGAGGTAAGACATCCGAGGTCCTTTCTTTGAGAGTCTCACGTTACCGCGTCACTCCTCAGCAGCCAGTTTCACCAAGTTTCCATCCTGCCCGACTATGCTGGCTGTCTCTGACCGAAGGTGACCAGGTGGCTCTTTCTCCTGTACCTTGGCTGCTTTTCCGTCTCAGCGTTGGATGGGGAGAGGGGAGGGAGGAGCGTGGCAGGACACAGGCGCTGCCGTTTCCAGAGCCTTGCTGCACCTGCCACCTCTCCCCGAGCAGAGAGTGTGCATGCTGGCAGGGTGGAAGAGAGACCTTGGAAATGAGAACAACGAGAGCAGCGGCTGCTGCTGTTTTTAAGGAGCTGAGCAGTTTGTCCACGGTCTTGGAGCTGGGGAGTGTTAGAGCCAGGATCTGAACCCGGGCAGACAGGCAGGCTCCAGAGCCTGCACTTTGTGTTGTGTGCTCTTCCGCTGGGCTGGCCTGGAATTCTGTGCTTCCAGAAGAATAAATAGAAGTGGCTCAGGAAAGACAGATATTTGTGTCAAGGATGTTGGTTCTTTGCTGGAACTGGGCCTCAGAATCATTTGGGTAATTTTTTAAACCCAAATGCCAGATACCCTCCCTCCTCCTCCTCCTCTACCTGTCTCCTGACACACACACACACACACACACACACACTCAGACTCTCATCAGGAAAGAGAGCGAGCAAAGGTGTCTGACCTAAGATGTGTGCTGGGCATCTCAGGTTGCTCGCTGCTGACCTGTTCAAGTTGTGGTTTTGGCCGGGCGAGGTGGCTCACGCCTGTAATCCTAGCACTCTGGGAGGCCGAGGCAGGCGGATTGCTCGAGGTCAGGAGTTCGAAACCAGCCTGAGCAAGAGCGAGACCCCATCTCTACTATAAATAGAAATAAATTAATTGGCCAACTAATATATAGAGAAAAAATTAGCCGGGCATGGTGGCGCATGCCTGTAGTCCCAGCTACTCAGGAGGCTGAGGCTGGAGGACTGCTTGAGCCCAGGAGTTTGAGGTTGCTGTGAGCTAGGTTGATGCCACTGTACTCACTCTAGCCTGGGCAACAAAGTGAGACTCTGTCTCAAAAAAAAAAAAAAAAAAAGTTGTGCTTTTGACAGACGCCAGTGAACCAAGTCCGCCCTCTTGGAACAGCCCTGGAAACTGTCTCTCTAGGTGCTTGCAGTTTATTGAGGACAAAGAAGCAACAGCCTACGACACAGAGACACAGAGTGTGTTTGAGCCATAGATGACCCAGCCCAAATCCTTCGTTGTATAGGCTGGTTGAGGGTGAGGACCTCAGCAAAGCCCTTGAGGGTGTGGCAGAGCTGGACCTAGAGACCATGTCCCCAACTTGTGGCCCAGGTCTCTTCCTAAGGAAGTCATCTTTTAGAAATTCTAGAGTTATGAGGAATTGTAGTGGTAACAGCAGAATCCTCCTATCTGCAAGTCTTCTCTTGAGTGTCAAAATACTCCATGGGAGTACAACGTAGTTCTGTTTTTTATGGTCTGTTCAAGCTATGGTAGGGGCAGCCAATGTTCACTTGGCAGTTTGGAGTAGTTGTCCTGGGCATGGTGGCACACGCCTGTAGTCCCAGCCACTCAGTAGGTTGAGGCAGGAGGACCCGTAAGTCTAGGAGTTTGAACCTAGCCTGGGAAACATAGTGAGACCCTGTCTCTAAACAAGAAAAAAACAAAACAAAACAAAACAAAAAGATCCCCAGTGTGGTTGGAGGGTGTGCAGAATAGCCTGGCACTTAATACCCAGTTTTCCAGATGAATGCTTCTTCCTCAGCCTCCACTTCCCTTTGTGAAAGGCAAACAGTCTATGTGGAATATCTCATTGCTCAGTAAATGAGTCATTTCGGTAATTATAAAAACTGCACATCCTCTGTATTTATATGTACACGGACCACACCTCTTTAGTGCTTTAGCCTAGGAGACATTCGAACACTGTTTATTTGAATGCATTGATATTTCATTTAATCCTCCCCATAGCTCTGTAAGAGAAGTTAGCTGTTCTGTTTTGCTGTCAGCCACGGCACAGGGATGATGAGTTACGTGTTCAGGGGCCCACAAGCAGAGGGGAGGTCTCCTGGCATCCTGGGGAGCATGTCTTCTCCTCGCAGCTCGGAGTGGGGTCTGTGACCGGCAGCACGGCTCAGCGTCACCTGGGGGCTGTGGCCATAGACCCACCGAATCAGAATCTGTACGTTGAACGAGATCCCTGGGAGGTTCTCACGCACAGGGAAGGTTGAGGTTCCCTGGGCTTTCTGAGTGTATTAACCCTTCTCGCTTTGGGACTGTTGTAAAGGAGGCGTCTCCTGTTCTTAACAGCGCTCTTTTCCCTGGGATGGGTGGGCAGGAACTTGGAGATAAACACATTTGTGACTTTTACAGATGTTCTTTGTTCTGTCACCATTTGCTTTCGTGGAAGCAGTTTCCAGGAGGAACCGCGGAGGCCCTGCCTCTTACCAAGCTGCTTCCTGTGCAGCCAGTTGCTCTGGGGGGGGGGGGAGGGTAGCCCAGCGCCACCGTGGGGCCAGGCCGACCCTGTCTGCAGGAGAGGGAGTCTGGCCTCCGTCGTTCCTCTTGGGAGCCTGGGGCCTGAGCTGGTCAGAAGTGGGTGCTCCAGGGGATGGTGCGTCACACTGACTGCCACCTGCAAGGGGCAATCCATTGCCCCTGGGAGTTGAGAATGACTGCGCCACTCAGATCCTAACACGGTGGCAGGGAAGGCAGGTGTGGGTTTTCTCTGAGTCTGATCGTAGGGAGACGAAATGACACGTGTGTTTCTCAGCGTCCAGAGTGAAGCCATCTGGGGCAACAGGCTGTGCGATGCTGTTGCTCCACTGGGTGTGCACGGGAGTGCCGGGCTAGCTTCTGCAGGCTGGGCCGGCTGCCCCGCAGGTGTGTCCCTTCCCATGCACACTGAGTAATGTCTGAGGTGTGGGCGGGACGCACTTAAGGTGTTCTCAAAACTAGACATCCAAAGCATCCGAGCGATGCTCTGAATCATCGCCGTGCGGGGACAATGTGCTGTGAGCGCAGATTGCTGGCTGCGTGCTCAGCTGGACTGAAACTCGGTGCTGACTCCTGTTTTCACCTCCCCACCCTTTCCCTCAAGGTTGGCCTCCGCCAGCTGGACATGTCCTTGCTCTGCCAACTGTACAGCCTCTACGAGTCCATCCAGGAGTACAAGGGCGCGTGCCAGGCAGCCTCCAGCCCGGACTGCACCTACTCTCTGGAGAATGGCTTCTTCGACGAGGACGACGAGTATTTCCAGGAGCAGAGCTCCCTCCACGACGGGAGGGACCCTCCCCGGGGCTTGTCACTGCCTGTCTCCTCGCTGTCCAGCAGCGACTGGATTCTGGAGTCCATCTAGGGGGCCTCGGGAGGGCCTCGAGGGTGGGGTATGCCCTTCCTACGGGAGACACTGCCAGCGTTCGCTTCTCCTCTGCTCCCCCATTGTGGACGGTCCTCAGGCAGGTGGCACCAACGCTGCCAGTTCAATTTGTAGGAGGGAGTTCTCCATTGACACGGAGAACTGGTGGCAGTTTTTGTCTTTGATGGCCACAGTTTCTACTTAGGTGACTTGGCGGTGCTCAGCAGCGTCCTTCACACTCTTACACTGGGCCGCAGCTGCTGGGGGTTCATGACGAAAGGCAGCAGGAGGATCTCCGAGAAGGACCCTAGTGGGTGTTTTGTACGAGGCGACTCGTGGCCAGTGACTTCCTTACAGGTGGTAGATTATCTGCACCTCTCCGTTTTAGGGTTGCTGCTTCCAGTTTGCCATGTGTTAAAACTGACGTTCCACTGCTTCCCTTCGTCGAGACGGTCTGCAGCTTTTCTTCTATTTATGAGCTTTTAAATTTTAAGCCTCTTGGTTCAGCTTTATTTATTTATAAGCTGCATTATTAACTATCCAGGTGAGGTGGTGAAAGCTTTTTATTGAAAAAGTCAACATTTCTGGTCACACCAACCAACTGCTTTCTCTCAACCTACCCAAAATTTATATCATTCTGTGTCCATCAGATATTGGAGGAAGGCAGATCATACAAACATATGTGGAGTGGGAAAAAAAAACTGGGCAAGCTCACGTTTTGTTTCCTCACTGTAATGACAAATGTTTTTGTTGTTTTCTGAATGTAAACTAGTATGTTAGAAGGCAAACCACCCTCCACTCAAAACACCGATTACCTTAAGCCTTAATATATTTATTAAAATACTTTATGAAAACCTTACACTTTGTAGGTTAAAAATGAGGATAAAATGCTAAACTATCTGTGGTTGTGTGTTATTTTGTTCTGAATTCACTATCGTCAATTCTACAACTTGAATGCATTGAGTCCAGTCAAACAAATACTGAAAGAAAATTGCAGTTTGTTCTCCTGCCATTGAGTGCTTTTGAAAGGAACTTGACAGTTGAGCTTAAGGAATTGTTTAGTGGTGGGAGGTCACCGTTTACAGCTGGATCTCAGTGCTGTGCTGCCTTTGAATACTCCACACTCGTTCCACCTGTTCTTCCTCTTGGTGCCTGAGAGTTGCTCGTGAGAGCCTCTTTCAGGCCAGGGAAGGGAAGCATACCTCAACGTTGTGCTCCTGCAGGTGTTAGCCTGCTGTGTATACCCCTGGTGCACCTGCGGGTGTTAGCCTGCTGTGTATACCCCTTGTGCACCTGCGGGTGTTAGCCTGCTGTGTATACCCCTTGTGCACCTGCGGGTTAACTGCTGTGTAGCCCTTGTGCACGCTGCAGCGTGTAGCCCTGCTGTGTCATACTGAGTGCACCTGGCGGTGTTAACCTGCTGTGTTATACGCCCTCTGTGCACCTGCACGGTGTGTTGCCTGCTGTGTATACCTCTCCCTCTGTGGCACTGCGCGTGTTCAGCTTGGTTTGTATACGCCTGTGCACCTGCGGTGTTAACCCTGCTGTGTTCACCCTTGTGCCACCTGCGGGTGTTAGCTGCTGTGAAGCGCTGTCAGCCTGCGGGTGTTAACACTGCTGTGTTACCCCTTCGTGCACGCCTGCCTGCGGTGTTAGCCTGCTGTGCTACCCCTGTGCACTTGGTGTTAGCTTTGCTGGTATACACCCTTGTGCACCTGTGGGTGTTAGCCTGCTGTGTATACCCCTTGTGCATCTGTGGGTGTTAGCCTGCTCTGTATATGCCTGGTGCACCTGCGGGTGTTAACCTACTTTGTATACCCCCGGTGCACCTGCGGGTGTTAGCCTGCTGTGTATACCCCTTGTGCACCTGCGGGTGTTAACCTACTGTGTATACCCCCGGTGCACCTGCGGGTGTTGGCCTGCTGAGTATACCCCTTGTGCACCTGCAGGTGTTAGCCTGCTGAGTATACCCCTTGTGCACCTGCGGGTGTTGGCCTGCTGTGTTTACCCCTTGTGCACCTGCGGGTGTTAACCTGCTGTTTATATCCCGGCTCAGAAACGGGTGGATCCAGAGAAGGCAGAACATTCCTGCTTATTTCCTCTGTTGAAAGTGGTTAAAATGAGGGGTGGCAGTAAATTGCCTTCAGCCTGTGACAGTTCAGCAGGCGCAAGAACATTGAAAGCAATAAAACCAACAGGGTTCAAAGTTCTGTTCCTTTGAGGCTGGGCCCTGCTTAACAATGAGTTGAGCCCTTAGGTCAGTGGTTCTTGACCCTGACTCCATTAAGAATCGCTTGGGGACTGTTAAGAAAAATATTGTTGCCTGGACTCTAGCAATCCCTCCCCTGTCCAGATTTAATCAGTAAGGAATGTGGCCTGGGCATCTGTCTGAATGATTCTAGAAGGCTCCCCTCGGGTGATTCTACCGTGCAGCGGTGTTGAGATACAGTCCTTAAGCTACTTCGTGTCCAAAGTGTGGTCCACAGATCAGCCATGCGGAATGTCACAACCCCCAGCCCTGCTGAATCAGGCCCTCAATCTTAAGGTGCCCCCAGCGACTGATTCCTTTGCACAAAGGTTGGGAAGTCGCTGTGTGTTAGCCAGTGCCCGACACTTGAAGACCACTGCTGCTCTAGAGGACTCCCAGATCTCCTTGCGGCATGGAGGAAGAGCCTGGCTGGCCCCAGGCCATGGTCAGGAGGCCCCAGTCCTCTCGGAATGGGCCAAGAACAGCCAGGGAGTGAAGCCTTGATGCTGCTGGGAAGGCTAACACCTTCCCTGCTCCTACGGGGAAGTGGGACGTGCACATGTATACATAAACCACCGCGCTTTTCTTTTCTTTTTTTTTGAGACAGGGTCTCACTTTGTTGCCCAGGCTAGAGTGAGTGCCATGGCGTCAGCCTAGCTCACAGCAACCTCACCCTCCTGGGCTCAAGCAATCCTACTGCCTCAGCCTCCTGAGTAGCTGAGACTACAGGCATGTGCCACTATGCCCGGCTAATTTTTTCTATATATATTAATTGACCAATTAATTTCTTTCTATTTATAGTAGAGACGGGGTCTTGCTCTTGCTCAGGCTGGTTCTGAACTCCTGACCTCGAGCAATCCGCCCGCCTCGGCCTCCCAGAGAGCTAGGATTACAGGCGTGACCCACTGCGCCGGCCCCACCGCGCTTTTCAATACTCCATTTGAAAGATAAAAATCACCCCAAACCTTTACTCCCAGTGTAGTGAAAATAGAGCTTGGCAAGGAATATTAAAATTTACCAAACTAGAAAATGTATTCTAATATAACCCTCTTTATAAAAAGTGCCACAGATGATTAGCAAATAAATACAACTGTTGTCCTTTATTGCCATGTGGTATAAATTACCACCTTTAAGCTCGGAGTGGGACTTTCTTGCTACTGAAGTTAGACCTGGTGTGCAGCAGAGAGCCTGTGGGTGGAAAAGGGAATCCAACGTAACCTGATGAAGGTGGAAGGAACCGTGGTTTACTCTGTGAGGCACAAAGCACTTAGTAGCCAAAGAAAAGAGCCTTGAGCCTCCTAAGGCCTGTGTGCCGGGAACCAAGAATTGTTAATAATCCGAGCCTTGCAATTCACAAATGATAAGGTTTCTCTTAGGTCCCTAGTACGATTCACATTCTACTGACCAAGCTTTCATTTGTCTGTAACCTAGGCCGATGAGATTCACTTAGCTAGCATTAATTAGCACTTCTCTGGTCTCACTGAGCCGGGCACGGAGAATGCAAAGATGGATAACATGAACCGTGAAGGGCCTCGGGTGACTTGCCGTTGCCAGCGGCCTGACACATGGTTAAGTATTGTCATCCTGGACATGGTTAAGTATTGTCATCGTGGAATGAGATGGGCTTAGAAGGAGGCTCGGTGAGTACTTGGGGATGTTGTTAAAGGTAACAACTGAGCTGGCTTTGAAGGATGAATAAATGTTTTAGGAGGAAAAGAGTAAGAAGGCTGATGGAGTGGCATAAACAAAGTCCCCCAGAGGTTTTATGTATCGTGTTGTGTGTCTTTGTAGAACATTTTTATTTCTGTAATGAAATAAAAGTGATTTGCCCAAGGTCCTGGCTAACTAGAAGCAGAGCTGGAGTTCCTTCTCAGATGCAGTCTCTGCTCCATCTACGTTTGAGGCACAGGCAAGTGCTGCGATATAACCTAAAATCTAGGGATATTGGGCACAACCCTTTAATCTTAAATTACAGTGCTTTCTTATTTAATGATTTGTCATGTAATGCATTTTTTAACCAATATTGGTCTCACCTCTACGTGGACGGGCCTAGTTTCATTCAGAGCCTGCTGTCATAAATATGTGCCAAGTGTATGGATGATGGAGACGCCCTCTGGCAACTTCTGTCACTTCACTGGAGGTGAGTTGGCCATTTGGCGTCATCTTGCTGCATAAAGAGAAACTTACTGATTGTAAAAGTCCAAGCACGTCCAGTCTTCTTGTCTTCACGAATGAGTGTACTTTCAGTTCCGAGAGAGATATTCTACTTGGAGGTAGTACAAGATATATCACAAAGACATCTGGAAGTTACACCTGATGAACAGCTGGCACCTGCTGGATGATATTAATAGTTTCTTGGGTGAAAATGCTATAAGAGTGCGGGCCTTCTGGCCACCTCGTGTGGGCGTTGGAAACGGTATCAGCAGCCTGGCTGCTGCCTCTGTTCTAGCCAGTTGTGATAGGAGCATGTTTGTTACTCTCTCACCTTATCCCAAGCCTCCCAATTTCTCTGGCCACTGATCAACTAAGGTTAAGTTCCTAAAACCCAGCTTTCTGCCAAGGTCTCCTGACTAATCCCCTGGAGAGCTTACACAAACAAGCTTGGCATCTATAGGATGTTGAGCAAAACCAGCAAAGCAATATTAGCAAAATAAAAGCATGAAGCAATGGTAAGGAAGACGTTATAGCCCAAGAGGCAGATGCCTGAGGGGAAGAGAGGTCAGTGGTAAGTGCTAACTGGAGAATTATACATCTTCGTCTCCAGTGGAAGTTTGATGGCCCCATTTTCCTGTTTCCCATTCCATCTTCAAGATACAGACGCTCTAATAAAAGTCAGTGATAAATGGGGCCCCAGGAACACGTCATTATATTGGGAAGGTAGATTTTGGCGGGAGGAGTGCTTACATTAGAAATGGACATGGTTAAGGTAACAGTTGCCATATGGCCAGAGAGCACTTCCCAATTCTCTTCCTAAGGCACAGCCTAAGAGAAGGGAAGTTAGGACTGGACAACTCAGATCAGCTCTGTTCTAGGACTTCAGGAAGAAGAGGCCAGCCACAGTGGCCCACACCTGTAATCCTAGAATTCCGGGAGGCCGAGGCGGGAGCATTGCTTGAGGCCAGAGTTCGACACCAGCCTGAGCAAGAGTGAGCTGACCTCATCTCCACAAAAAATAGAAAAATTAGCCAGGGATAGTGGTGTGCAGCTGTAGTCCCAGCTACTCAGGAGGCTGAGATAGGAGGATCACTGGAACACAGGAGTTTGAGGTTGCAGTGGGCTATGATGCCACCAATGCACTCTAGCCCGGGCAACAGAGTGAGACCCTGTCTCAAAAACAAAACAAAACAAAACAAAACAAAACCAAAAAAGGAAGAAGAGCACTTTACTTTTCATTTTCTTCCCTTCTCCTGCCCTTAGGATGAAAGATGCCAGAGTGGGACCCAGGGAAAAGGTGAAAGAGGAGACCATTTAGGTTGGTACTAGAATATCACTTGTGTTAAAGAGACAAGAAAGCTCCTTTGAAATTCCTAAGTTCGGCACAAGGGTAGGAAAGTCATGGGAATTGGAGGTTGAAAGGCAGGCCAGTAATCGTGCCCACTTGTCTGGTGGGTCGCCATGCACATGTGCTCAGCAATCCAGGTGGAGGTGTCTGCAGAATGGGAGTGGGCGCTCACTGTCTAAGCTCAACTCGCGGTTACTGTAGTGACAAGCATGTCATGGCCAGAAACTCTCCACTGGGCACTGGTCCTCTGTGGGAATGACCCCCAAAGTTCTTGTCCTGTTTCCCTTTTCTGGCAACTCAGGTTCAACTCAGTCCCACTTCAATCCTACACCATGTGACTTCTCTTGGCAAGCTTCCAGCAGACACAGCCTGAATGACTGTCTCGATGATCAATACCTGCACAGGCTCAGCCACCCTTACGAAATCGATTCCACCATGCTGGGAGTTCCAGCTGAAAGGAGCCCAACGTAGGACCTGGCAGTTGTGCTTGTCTCCCGCTGCTGGACAAAGAGCCCAAGCACGCCCCATAGGGTAGGAGACATAGTCTAGCCCCAGAGCTATGCCTGATCATAGATTTTATTTATTTTAAATGGACTGGTATTTATATACCACCGTTGTTTCAAAATTATTCAAGGATGCTTTATGAAAACTCACACAACACAATAAAGTGCAATTTTTAAAAATGTGGGTTTGGGCCGGGCGCGGTGGCTCATGCCTATAATCCTAGCACTCTGGGAGGCCGAGGCGCGCGGATTGCTCAAGGTCAGGAGTTCAAAACCAGCCTGAGGCCGGGCGCGGTGGCTCACGCCTGTAATCCTAGCACTCTGGGAGACTGAGGCGGGCGGATTGCTCGAGGTCAGGAGTTCGAGACCAGCCTGAGCAAGAGCGAGACCCCGTCTCTACTATAAATAGAAATAAATTAATTGGCCAACTAATATATATAGAAAAAATTAGCCGGGCATGGTGGCACATGCCTGTAGTCTCAGCTACTCGGGAGGCTGAGGCAGAAGGATCGCTTGAGCCCAGGAGTTTGAGGTTGCTGTGAGCTAGGCTGATGCCATGGCACTCACTCTAGTCTAGGCAACAAAGCGAGACTCTGTCTCAAAAAAAAAAAAAATGTGGGTCTAGAAATCAGGACAAATGAAATACAAGGGCAGGGCAGACGGTGAAGCCAGCTGTAAAGAGCACAAGCAGCACCTGCTGTGAGAAGGACAAGCAGTCCTATTTGTTTGCAGACCACTAATGAGGCGGGTGCTGACCTTGAATGCAAATTAAGGCCCAGAGATAGATGGTAAATGCTCAGCTCCAGAACAGGTGTTTGCTTGGTGCTTCCCTGGCAACTGTGTACAAGCAAGGTGACTTCTGGAAAACACAGAAAAGCATTAGAATGGCTTTCTTTAAATGTTGCAAGGGAATCTTCAGCATTGTGTCAAATCCACCTCTCGACCCACGTGGGAATCTCCTTCGTCACACACATCTGGCCGTGGCATTTCTGCGCTCCCACACCTGTGAAAATAGGTGGCTCACTGTGTTGTGAGAACTTCTTGTGTTGCCCTGAAATCTGTCTTCCTGAGACTTTGAGGAAGTTACAGATAAAGGGTTCTCGCCACTGGAGAGTCCTGCTCAATCTTGGGAGGGGTGGGGAGGCAGGGCTGCTCTATTGGCCAGATGACTCTGTGACAGGCTAAAAAACAGCCCCCTGGAGATAACTGGTCCAAAGACAGAATCTCTGGAACTTGTAAATATGACCTTGTTTGGAAAAAGGGCCTTTGCAGAAGTGATTAAGGATCTCATGATGGAGAGATTATTCTGATTATCCAGGTGGGTCCCAAATGCCATCACGAGTGTCCTTATGAGAGGTAGAGGGAGATTTGACAGACACGGAGGATGCAATGTGAAGACGGAAGAGAGACTGGAGCAACGTGGCCAATAGCCACAGAATGGCAGAGGCCACCAACAGCCGGAAGAGGCAAGAAACGGATTCTCCCCAGAGCTTCTGCGGGGAGTGTGGCCCTGCTGATACCTTGATTTTGGCCCAGGGAAACTGATTTTGGACTTCTTGCCTCCAGAATTTGTGAGATTGAATATATTGTTTTAAGCCACCCAGCGTGTGGTCACTTGTCACAGCAACCACGGGAGCCCCCAGCTCTCCATCTGTCACATTGTCACTTGTGCTGATCCAACACAATTCTCACCCTCTGCATACTCAGAAAACTTTTCATGACGGGCTCTTACAGTTGGCCTTAGTCAACGGGCATCTTCTGGGGCCACTACAGGGATTAAAGTTAATAATCTAAAGCCCTTAAAATAGTGCCTGGCACAAAGTAAATAGTATATATTAATATAAATATTTGTTAAAATAGGAACAAATAGAATCCTGTTTACGGTACTGAGGTTCTTGCTTTTCTAATGTTCTTTCTCTGTTGGCTCTTCAGGAGTGAGGGAATATTTTAGATTTAGTCTTGAGTTAAAAACTTTTCCCTTCAGAATATATTCCTTATGGTGACCTAGCACCTCTTGTATTGTCCTGGATGGAGCTGGATCCCATCCTACTAAGTGACGTACCACAAGAATGGACAAACAAGCATCACGTATATTCACCATCAAATTGGTACTAACTGATCACACTTACGTGCACATATGGTAGTAACATTCATCGAGTGTTGGGCAGGTGGGAAGGGGAGGACGGGATATGTGTATTCACACCTAATGGTGCGGTGTGCACTGTCTGGGGGATGGTCACGCTTGTAGCTCTCACTTGGGCAGGGCAAAGGCAATATATGTAACCTAAACATTTGTACCCCTGTAATATTCTGAAATGAAAAAAAAATAGAGAAAAGTATATATAAGAAAATTGAATTCACCCATTAAAAAAAGAATATGTTCCTGATTTTATAATGAAAGGTTATTGTTAGATGTGTTAGATATCAACATTATAACGTCAAAGGCTCACAGGTGTTCCACTAAGGAAAGAATACAGGACAATGCTCACTTCCTTCCACAGCTTCTTCCCTTGGAGACAAAGGACTATTATTTAAATCTGGATCTGGTCATTTGAGTTCCCTATTTATTTAAAATCCCTTGTTCTCTGTTCCCTGTATTTGAAGAACAGTAAATTACCCTCTTCTCGCTAAAAGAAGACAGACCCCCAGGCATCCACTAATGGACTGCAGACAGAGGCCGAGATGGACCCTGGGACCTTCAGTGGACTAGGAGTGAAGCAAGACAGACCCAACTCTGCGTGACCTTAGGAAAATCCCCTAACCATTCTAAGACTGATTTTGAAAAATGTCTTTAACTTTTCGCCTTATAAATATCTAAAAATACCTTTTTTTGGCTCATACATACAACTATGATGTTTTCTTCCCAATTTGGTTCAAACACTGGTAGAAAATCTTTTAACAATAGGCCACTTGTCTATCTTCCATGTGCCTTATTAATCTATATCATGCTCTCAGAAAATGCGCACTTTTTCTCCTCTAGTCCTTGCCTGTGTTGAAAACTTAAGAGCCAGCAGCAGGCTCTGTTGAAGGGTAACTGTGGTGTGAACATAACTGATCTGCAATTGTGATCACGAGACAGGTTTTCCCAGGTGGCTGGAGTGCAAGTGCATTTCAATAAAGATAGGGCACCTATAAATTACCTAATGTTTATATTTTCAAATTGATTTTCATATAAATACACCTTTTGTTGTAATCCTTGTCTCAATTTTTTGGGGGAGGGGTAGTTTGGAGAATGCGGACATAGTTCTAAGGCACCAACATCACCACCACCTTGTAACTTCCCAACATAACTAGACGGGCAATTATATTTAATCTCAGAAATATTTAAAACAAACTTTAGCCAGGTGCAGTGGCTCACACTTGAGATCTTAGCACTTTGGGAGGCTGAGGTGGGAGGATTGCTTTTGGCCAGAAGTTAGAGATCAGCTTGAGCAAGAGCGAGATGAAAAATAAGAAAAATAAGCGGGGCATGGTGATGGGTGGCTATAGTCCTAGCTACTTAAGAAGCTGGGGCAGGAGGATCGCTTGAGCCCAGGAGACTGAGGTTGCAGCGAGCTATGATGACACTACTGCTTTGTAATAAACCATTTGCAGAATGGAGCCTAAGATTAGAGCTGGATCAGATGGGTCTCCTCTGACCTTGGGGGTCTAGGCCAGTCCTCTACCACACATTCCACACCCTTGGCTAAGTACTGCCCATGAGTACTCACCAAGGAAAGAGGTTCTAATACTGGTTTGTTTTTTTTTTTAAGATTAACAAATATCTTTGTGATGATCAAGAAAGACTGGAGATAAAAAATTGAGCGTGAATTATATAAGAGTAATATGTTTATCTTACCTGAGTTAGCAGATCAGACAAAGATTTGCAAAGCTATGATCAATGTGCTAGATTTTTTGTCTTTTCCCCCAACTCTTGTTTTTAATAGATCGTTCCTTTTGGCGGTGTGCCTGTGAACCCCCCATCTCCCTCTCTCCTCACCATTTAAGGCTCCATCTAGTGGTCGGCAGCCCTCTCTGTCCTGTGGCTGTTCTGAGATGTTAACCCAGCTGATTTTTTTTTTTTTCCACTTTGGATTCTTCCTTTAACTATCTGTATTGGTTTCACTGTTCCTGGGGATACCCTTCATAAATGACCTTTACGTGACGTCCTATGTCATTTTAAAACCCCCACTGCCCAGCGTCCACCCAGGTATGTGTGTACTTCCAGCCCCTGCACACCTACCTCCCACACTCTGCCCTCTAGAACGTGGCACACATTCCTATTCTCCCCACGAGGGACACTGGAACATTCCTTTCCTTTCCCCTCCCTCTCAGAACAGCCTCCCTGCTGCCAACTTCTAAGGCTGCAGTAGGTGTTCCTGCCACCCTTTTATAGCAGTTATCACCCTGCACTATCATTCTCTCACTTGGACTTCTGAATCTGTTACTACCCAGTAAACTCCAAGAGGGCTGTGTCTCATTTACAGCTGTATCCACAGGGTCTCACACACAGAGTAGGTCCTCAGTATATATCTGGACTGGTAAGTAAAGAATGAATGGAACAACAAATGAAAGAGAGTGGAGAGAGGAGCTTATCTATTTCTTAAATAACAGCTTTATTGAGATATAATTCACCCTTATAAAGTGTACAATTCAGTGGTTTTCAGTATCTTGTTTAGTTTTGGATCAGCCAATTTTAAAAAGTAACTTTGTTACTGAAATGAAAATTTACAAAAACCCAGTTTATTCTGAAAGACTTTATTAAGAGAAAAGTGCTTCTATTGTTGTAAGGACACAAAATACTATTATTTTAAGCCAGTAAAAACATTTAAATGACAAAGATATTAAACATGTCCAAGGAGTGAAACCTAGATCTCTTATTGCATGTGAATTAGAAATGCTTACCTGCATTGACTATAACATAAATTTTCACCTGGTACATTCATCAGTCCCTGTAACCACATTCCTTGTGTCTGTATGAGTGTTTCCGTGTGTGTCTGTGTGTACCTCTATGTAAATGGTTTAGATGTTTCTTGGATGTGTGTGTGTGAATAGGTGAGTGGGTTTGGGTGTCCACTGCTACCATCATTGCTTTTTTTTCAGGAAGGATTTCCAAATCTTGGCTTCATTTTATTCATCAGAAATGAGGAGCCTGGTTTATATCTCATGTCTTCTCTTTTTCAGGTGCAGCTGGTCATGCCACAGACAGTAAAGAATCAAACTGTAGACAGTAAAGGAAGTACTTAGATGGCACATTCTGCTGAAAGTCAAGTCCATATATACTTACTAGGGCAGGCCCCGGCTACAGTAAATACAGAGGCACATCTCTCCTGGAACCAAACTTTTTGCCAGGTTGGGGGAGTGAGGGATAGACACATGAAATTTTAATATAAGACATAGGCAAGTATAAACTGTGAGATGACATAAAACAGGATAATGGTTTTCAAATGACTAAAGATATAGGACCTTATTTTCCTAACTATAAATTACGATTGATAGTCTGAGAAGCAGAAGCACTTATGAAAGTAGGGGACAAGCAGTTTGACAGTGAGACAGCTTTGGAAGCTCTTGGACACATGACTCCTGTAGGTGTTAAATGAGCACTAGGAGGTCACCAGAGGAGAGAGCCCCACAAACTCCAGCGTTTGGAAAGTCTCCACTCCGTGGAGAAGCAAAGATGGCCATATCTGGCTGGGGGGAGAATAAAGTGCTCTAGGATTGGACAGAGAATGAGGCCGATCTTGAGGACAGAGGACCTGTGGTGGATGTAGGATGTGGGGAGAACAAATCTGGGGAGAAGAACTAGGACCACGTTATGAAGGGCCACATGAATGCTTGGAGGAAACTAAAGATGCTCCTTAGGGAGAGACGAGAAGCTCCTATGTCGACGGTAAGACATTACTGAAGAATCTGGAGAGTGCCAGGAGTGTGTGTTATGGAGATTTCCATGGCCCTGCTGAGGCTGGTTAGAAGGCTGCGGTAACCTTCAGGCAGGAGAGGATGGGGCACAGTTGTGGCCTGAGTGAAGAGGGATGAGGAGCATCGCATGAGAAAAGCTGTCAGGACAGGACTCTGCTTCAGTGGGGAGAGGGCGGTGACACTGAGTTCACATCAGACCTGCTTCAGGCGCTGCAGGACCACCCTGGTAGGAGGCAGTGGAGGGCACGGTGACGGTGACGTGGCAGAGAGGGAGGCTGGAGAGGGGTCTAAGAGGGATGTGCACGGTGCGAGGGCAAGGAAGAGGGCTGACCACAGAATCCTGGCACCAGCAAGGGACTCAGTGAAGATCTGACAGGTCGGGAATGAAGTGGTGGCCTTTTTCAGGAGAGGCCATGAGCTAGCAACCTCCAGAGCAGAGCTCAGCCAGGAGGAGGGCTCTGAAAAGGAGCTGGCAACGGGCTTCCCTGTGAATGTGAGGAGTCTGGATTCAGGAGACTGACAGAAAGTGTATTTACAAAGAGAAATGGCAGTGAAGAAACAGGGAAAGCAGCTCAGACCATCTGTTCTAGAATGAAGAGGTACTCATGTACCTAGTGGAGGGGAAAGAGAAGAGAGAGGATACATGAAGCAGCAACATCTCCGAAGAGCTGGGAAGGAAGAGGACTAACTGGGCAGGAAGACTCCAGCAACAGGAGTGGAGTGTGGAGGGTTAGGAGAGGCAGAGAAGGTTGAGAGCCGCCACCTGCCAGGAGGACGTAACAGATCGAGGGAGGAGTGGCCAGAAGCATGGCCTCGACTTTCCCCGACATGGGCCTCAGGCAAGGCCTGCTTCCCCCTGCCTCTGTGCTGTCCTCCCGCTGCAGCCCAGCCTTCCAGTATGCCCCAGGACCCTGCTTCCTCACACAGCACGGAGGCTGCCATCCACAAGGCTGGGTGTGACTGGAGGGAGGGGAAGACCCACAGCTGGAAACAGCTCCAGAGAGCAAGCTGAGCACATGAGACAGGAAGGAGAGAAGGAGAACACGGACAACCAAAGAAAGCCTGCAGCAAAGGAGAAGGAAGCTCAAGGGACTTGGGACACTCTCAGCACAGTGAGCACAGACGTGGTGGCGAGGACCACGCGAAGGCCTTGTGATGGGTTACTACGATAGCACAGGAGCAGCTGGAGACCGCTGAGGTTTTGTGTCGGCAGAGGTGGCTGCTCGAGAAACACTGGGGGCTCTAGGGAGAGACGGATGGTGGCCTTAGTGAAGTGTGTACGCTGGAAGGCAGGAGGCCGGTGGATTTGCAGGGACTAAGACAGCATAGCTCAGCGGCTGCCTACCGCTTCCAGGGGTGGTCAAAGCACAGACAAGCAGGTCAGGAGTAGAGGCAAGTCAGAGGTCAAGGAACTAGAAGTGAGAAGGGCAGCAAAAACCAGGGATGAATTAGGGAGGAAGGCTGGGGAGGGTAGGAGACAGTTTTAGAGTCTAAGATCTTAGTAGGACTGGGTGAGATTAGAGGTGTCAGAGAAATTGTGAGGTTAGGACCCTAGAAGCAACAAAAACATGGATGTTGATGTCCTTGAATATGACAAAAGAAACTAAAGTGAGGCCCCTTGGAGCCATGTACTATAAAATCTCAAGGAAGACGTGGGCGACCCAGAGGGAATGAGATGCTATAGGACGGTTATGTAAGGGCACCTGCTTATTTTACAGTGACATCTACCTAATTTGAGAAGGCTACGCATCTGAATGCATGAACACTACCCATCTCTCAGTACCTCCTCAGAAGTCCTGAGATTTGTAGATGGCACAGTCACTTCCGACGTCCCATTCCATCCTCTGGAAGATGTAGACCATGGTGCTTTCTAGCAGGAAGCCACTCAGGATGGCCAACAAGGAGAGCTTTCGGTTGATGTTTAGGGTCACTGGAAAAGAGAAAGCTGCAAATAAGTTCTTAAGAATTTAATTAAATCATATTGGCATGTAAATTACATGGCAGTGTGAACTATATTGTAAAGGTGTTTTTAGAAAATCTGTATTCTTATTAATCGATCCTGCTACCTTCTCCCACTTTTCCATCTACAAATCATTTGAGAGAACCAATGCCTCTGCTTGTAACAAAAATGCTGAGCTCCTCCTCCACAAATCAGATAAGAGACAGATTCCCATGAATATTAAAGGAAGCAATAAAAAAGATATCTAAGCTTATAAAGAAAATAATAGGAAAAAATGATACTCCCACTGCCACAGTTTGCAAGATGACAAACATCAAGCATTCTGATAAAAAGCATTAGGTAACAGGTTCATTTAAAATAGCACTTCTCACAATACATGGGAAAAAGAAGACACAGAGAGATACTTATTTCTTCCATGGTGTAGCAGGAACTGTCCTGGGTTGGGAGGCAGATCTAGCATTCCTTCCTGGCTTGTAACTTTGGATAAGTCACTTAACCCTCAGCCACACAAGCTCATTCATAAAATATAAGTCATAATGGCTGCCCCCACCAACCTCACAGGAGAGAAATAACGTGTGTGAAAGCATTTGCAAAACTATTAAGTACCACGTGGTTAAATTGAGCAAATACTGAGTACCTTTTGAGTATAAGGCACTGTAGCTGTGTTAGGTATTGTTGTTATGCTATGAAGAATTCCAGTGTTCATCAAGTTGTATAAATACTGTGCTCTAGAAACAAGGCTTCAGGCTTTATTATGGGTTGAGAGCTGAGAGGGCAGAATAAAAAACATACCTCTAATAGCCTGAAAATTTGATGTGAGGACAAATACTTTAATGAGTTTGAGGCACAGCGGTGTGTAGTCGTGTTCCCAAATGACGGCTGGAATCAGCAAGAGCTTTCCGTAACTAGACAATAACAATGCTTTCAGCAGCAAAATGAAGTTGGGCTTTTTTTTCGACGTCAGGGGCTGTTCTGCCCACAGGAAAGTAAAAATGCCAATAAAAAAGGCAGCTTGTTCTAAAGAGGAAATGGAAAATAAAAACATGAATGTCCCCATCCAAAACATACTCCCTTAAGAATAAACTAAATTCCAAAATGCACCATATTAGCTGACTTCATTAGAAATGCTTTATTAACATCAAAATTTCTTTTTCTTCTTCTTCTTTTTTTTAATAATCCCCTGCATTTTGTGTCACATCCTGCTCATATGATTTCAGTAACATATTTCAACAGTTCTTTCATGAAGTATTTCATCATCCATTGAAGAAAAAGTAACTCCATTAGAATGATAATCATCAACTTTCTGAAGTTCTTTTTAGGAAGTAAGATTCTGTTTAAACGCCTGTGTAAAGAGATCTCCAAGGAGAGAATAAAACAAGGAGGATGGAGGCCTTTAAGTCTATCCTAAAAATTGGATAACATATAGACATTTTTCTTTGTGCATTCTTCCACTATTTGAGTGCCTACCATCTCTAAAATTTTGAATATTCTGTTACCTAAATTAAAAGATTTCCCTCATTTATTTTGACAACATTTTGAGTACAATTCTCTCTCTTTCTCTCTTTTTTGAAGATAGGATCTCACTCTGTTGCCTGAGCCAGAATGCAGTGACATCATCACAGCTCATTGCAACCTCAAACTCCTAGGCTCAAGGGAGCCTCCTGTTTCAGCCTCCCAAGTAGCTGGGACTATACACACATACCACCATGCATGGCTAATTTTTCTACTTTTTGTAGGATGAGCTCTCAATGTGTTGCTCAGGCTGGTCTTGAATTCCTGGCCTTAAGCGATCTTCCTACCTCAGTCTCCCACAGTGTTAGGATTACAGGTGTCAGCCACCATGCCTGGCCTAAGTATAATTCTTTATACTTGCAGACAGTATTCACAGAAGGACAGAGTCCAGATTAGAAGCAATAGTTCCACTGTGTCTTATGGTCAGAATACAGCATAATCTGTTCAGTTCCTATTAAGTAGTAATTTAATTTAACATTTCTTTGACCTGTGCTTTAATTTTTATTAGGAGTGGTAGTCCTCTGATTACCTAGCTGCATATGTTCTGAGTGGTCTATCTCTAACTCAATTTTGTTCCCATAAGCTGTGTTATTTGTAGTTTAGATTTCTGCAGAATCAGGTTTTTCTGGAACATATGTATCATACTATAAGCAGAAAAAATTATACTCCTCTTTAAATGTTTTATGACTTAATACAGTTGACCATTGAACAACACGGGTTTGAACTGTGTGGGTCCACTTACACGAGGATTTTCTTCTGCCTCTGTCACCACTGAGACAGCAAGATCAATCCCTCCTGTTCCTCCCCAGCCCACTCAACATGAAGATAAGGAAAAGAACTTTATGATGGTCCACTTCCACTTAATACACAGTAAATATATTTTCTCTTCCCTGTAATTTTCTTAATAACATTTTCTTTTCTCTAGATTACTTTATTGTAAGAATACAGTATATAATACATATAACATAGAAAATATGTATTAATTGAGTGCTTATGTTATCGGTAAGGCTTCCAGTCATTAGCAGGCTATTAGTAGTTAAGTTTTCAGGGGGTCAAAATTATACGTGGATTTTCAATCGTGTGAAGGGTTAGTGCCCCTAACTCCTGTGCTACTCAAAGGGTCAACTGTGCAGCCAAACTAAAGAGCTTCCATATGTAGGTGATTAGAATGAATAAGATAATTTAGGTTGGTTAAACTTGCATGAAATTTGATATATTATTCAGGAAGACAAATTATCTCCCTTCAAAATAACTGAAGGGCTTGTCAACTGCAAGGATCTGCTTAAACAGGCAGATTTTAAAGCTTGGATTTTGGATCAAACACATAATAAAGACCTCTCTGAATAAATGAATAGTGAATGACCAGTGAACAACAAGACCCATCTAACAATGGTGGGTTGTCTTCTGTCACCAGAGACACTCAAACAAAGCTAGACTATCTCAGGAATCTAGAGAAGGTTTCTTGCACCGGACAGGTTGAACTAGACCTCCACATTTTTGTCATTTAGGGTTTACGAGATTTATGGAATTACACCAGCCCTTAGGCTCTCACTGGTCAGGTCGATTCAGGAGGAGTTGCTGGCTACCTGCAGGACACTGCGGTGCAGAAAACACTGAATGGGGAGCTAGGAGACTTTCCCAGTCTCAGTGCTGACACTGGCCTGTTGTGGGGCATTGGGGAAATCATTTACCATTGCCACATCTATGTTTCTACAGCGATAGATAGGGGAGAATCCTAACCTACCTGCCTCAGAGGATAGTTGTGAAAATTAAATTAGATAATACCTATAACAGTAGTTTTTACATTATAAAATGCTCTATTTACATAAGATATTCTTAATAAACTCCTTTAAGGCTTTATAATCTAGGGATTAGATTAAGATGCATAAAAATGCTAAGTAACAGTAAAAAGAAATTTCTGATTAAGTGTCAAAATATCCACTAGAGTAGCTGCTACAGGAATTCCTATGTTATTTGAAAATAAGCTTTTTTTCTTATATTAGATTAAAAATATGGACATATAGTAGTTTATCTTAGAACATTTTTATTGAACACCTACTATGGGCCAGGCATCTAAGTGCTTGAACTACACGAGTGATGGAAACAAAGAGCCCTGCCCTCATTCAGTTTATACGTCAGTGGGGGAAGCAGACCACAGAGAAAAGATAACAAATAACTTCTGTGATATGTCAGATGATAAGTAACATAAGAAAAACACAGTAGAGCAGGAATGGAAGATCAGGAGTATCAGAGGGTGGTTGATGGCGTTGGTCAAGGTATGGTTGATTGAGAAGGTGACATTTCGATAAAGACTTGAGGGATCGGAGGGAGTCAGACATGTGGGCGCTGGGGGGACAAGCAGTCCAGGCAGAGGGAACAGCCAGTCCAAAGGCCTGAAGGTGGAAGCTCATCCACTGTGTTTGAAGCAAGTTAACCAGAGAGGCTGGGCCAGAGTAGATATGGGAGATGGAGTGACATGATCTGACTTGTCTGAACAGGACTACTCTGTGATGTGAATATATTGTTGGAGAACTGGGCTAGAAAACAAGGAGGCTAATGTAGTAATCTTGGTGAGAGATGAAGGTGGCCCGCATCAGGCTGGTAGCCACACAGGGAGTGGACAGTACTAGTAGTACTTTAGAAGAAATATTCTGAAGGCAGAACCAATGGGGTTTCCTGATGATCTGACTACTGGGTATCAGAGAAAAAGGCATCACGGATGACTCCAAGGCCTTTTGGTCTAAGCAACTACAAGAATGGAGTTATCTGCCCTTGACATGGGGAAGGCCGTGCATGGAGCAGAGAGTCGAGGAGGATATGGAGATTACAGATATGCAAGTGGAGATGTTGAGAAGGCAGATGGATAGTCTAGCGGTGTAGAGAAAGGCCTAGATTAGAGAAGGGCAGGACTCTGTTGGGAGTTCTCAGCAGATAGATGAGATGAACAAGAGAGAGGGCAGACAGAGAAGAGGGCAAAAGTGGACATGCAGTCTAGAAATAAGACAATGAAGTAGACTGGAAGCCTAGTATTACTAAAATAAAGTTTTATTATAATTAAACAATTTAGAAGCAGAGAAGCATGGAAACTAGTAAGGAATAAGAGTCATAGAAATTAATTTAACATAATTCTGACCTTAGAAAAATGACAACTTGGCCAGGAGTGGTGGCTCACGCCTGTAATCCTAGCACTCTGGGAGGCCGAGGCGGGTAGATCATTTGAGTTCAGGAGTTCGAGATCAGCCTAAGCAAGAGTGAGACCCCATCTCTACTAAAAATAGAAAGGAATTAATTGGATAACTAAAAATATATAGAGAAAAAATTAGCCGGGCATGGTGGCGCATGCCTGTAGTCCCAGCTACTTGGGAGGCTGGGGCAGGAGGATCGCTTGAGCCCAGGAGTTTGAGGCTACTGTGAGCTAGGCTGATGCCATGGCCCTCTAGCCCGGGCAACAGAGCGAGACTCTGTCACAAAAAAAAAAAAAAAAAAAGAAAGAAAGAAAAATGATACCTTAAGTCACAAATTCACATTTTGAAGAAATGCACTTTGTGAACTAAAGCAATTTTGGGGAGTAGCCAATTTCTCTACATGCAGTCGTATAATTGACAAGTCTTTCCTATGAAATGCATTGCATTAGTATAATGCAATTAGTACAACACATTGGGTAATGTCTGGCAATTACCAATCCGTTTAAATAAAGATGGGACTTATGTAATCTTTAAACTGTATAATCAGAACTTAAACATTAAGAATTTTATCAACAATATCATGCTTCAAATACTTTATGAAATTTTTGAATTTGATAAGCAGAACTACATGTGTGGTAACAAATAAAAAGCAGGTAATTTTGACAGACTACCTCACAGGTTAGTGGCAGAGCTGAAAATACAGTCTCAAGTCTCAAGTGTTAATAGCTTCTCTTTTCAATGATTAAGACTACATGTCTTTATTTTAATCAGAATAGTTAAATACTGGTTAACTAAGAATGGAAAGTATGGTGTCTGCTTACCTAAAGAAGCGATGGCAAACATTCTATAGAAATCCCACTCCTTGGCATATCTGATCAAGTCATCAGGGGCAGTGTTCTGGTTGGAATCTTGAAGCTGCCACCACCTCAGGTATGCTTCACAAAGCAAACAAAACATGCAGAGTTTTCCATGGATCTGACAGTCAAAGACATTGTCATTCAATTAGGTAAAGAAACAGTTACACTTAATATCACCAGGCACAGAGGTAGCTAAGTATTCATGGTTTTGAAGAATGTCCCATCTAATCATTTTTTGAATTCAGAACTATCCAATTAAGTGTCTAATTGCAGTGGTTCTTAATCAGCAATGTCCATTAGAATCAAATGGAGAGATTTTTCAAAATATAAATGTGTAGGCCTCAGTCCTCATTCAGAATCTTTGGTAGTAAAACCTGGACATCCATATTTTGAAATACCACCTCCCAGGGGAATTCTAATGTGCATTACACACCCCCAGTTAAAAATAACTGTTTTAAATAGTAGTTCACCTTTAATTATATATTTTCAATATCTGTCCTATACTCAGAATCAAGCAGAGAATTTATGACTCATGTATAGGTGGAAACAGCAATAAGAGAATAGATTCAATCTGAAGATTCCATGATACTGCATAAAAAACTATTACTTTAAAAATAAATTTAAAAAAATGCCTCTGGACTGGATGAGTAGAACTTAATATATTAAAAGAGAGCAATTAAAAGCTGCAAGTTCCTAAGACTGGAATTTTGGCTAAAACAGAAATACTAGGCAACAAGAACTGGCTTTTTCCTACATATTTCTCCTACAGATTGAGCTTTGCCCATCAATACAAAGTGGGGAACAGAACACATGAGTGCAAAGCCAATGTGGTCAAGGGGCAGCTATCAGTCTTAGGCTTCTGAGGCTGCTCCAGCTGGCACACTAGTTCCCCCAGCTGCACTCTGCAATCACCTGGGGAGATCCGAAAAATGTCGATGCCTGGATCCCATCCCCAAAGATTCTGATTAAATTGGTTCTAGGGAGGCCTCAGCTTGGCAGGTTTAACACTGTCCCCAACCCCAGCTGATTCCAAAGTGTAGCAATGCTTGAGAATCAGGGCTCTGGTAATTTAAATACTACCCTGGTTATTTAACTTAGGGGGTGGGGCAGGGATAAATAAATAAAGTTATGATGACATAACTGTCCAAGTTAGCCCAAACTTAGGGTTGCCAGATTTAGCAAACAAAATACATGACACCCAGTTAAATTTGAATTTCAGATACACAATGCATAAATGTTTTTTTCTAAGTATGTTCCATGGAACATTTGGGATATGCTTATACTAAAAATGTATTTGCTATGTATCTGAAACTCAGATTTAACTGGGTGTCCTGTATTTTACCTGTCATCTCTACCCAAACTGTTAAAGAGTTCACAATTCAACACACTAAAAGTATATTTAAAAAAATCCAACTTTATAAATCAGGACTTTTCTGATTAAACTCAATGTTATTATTTACCGTATACATTCCTTTAATAGCAGAGTATAAAATTCAATAAATTGTCTTTTTTAACATTTTTATTTTAATGTTTGCTTACTTCTTTTGGGAACAATTCTCTATCTGGGTATGCTTTATTTTATTCTGTTTAAAATCAGTGATACCTGCTTCAACCTAATAAAAAGCAATCCAGATTATGGTTTGTCAGTTTTCTGCCAGTGACCACATTCTTAAACTTTAAGCATTGTGTACCTTTTTAATCAACACTTGTTATTTCAAGAAACTTCCAGACATGTTGAGATAAAAGAACTACCCTCAAGCTAGTATTTTTTTCCTTTTTATAATATTCTTTAATTCTGTTCAAAATTTGTATTATTCTTTTAAAATGCAACAGCATAAAGTAAAATTAAAAAATAATAAAATTATCACAACTTACATTTATTTTAGTATTGTAAAGAATATGTCTGTAGGCCTGGGCTTTGCATAAAATAGCATTAATCAAGATGATAACAGGGTCATACTCGATATATTTGTCTACAGGTTTCTGGCAGGATTTCTGAAATAATACAAGATAATATTAGAACAAGCAAATTTATGCATTCTGAAATCCTAAAAGATTTCAAAACAGCAGAATCTATTTGGACATGTATACTAACAAGGCCATATCAGCATTTATTTAAATAAACTTCCATTCAGATACAAAATGTTCATCTATATAAGAAGTGGTTTCAAAAATGACTAATTATAATCTATGCTAGCAATAGTAATATTTTAACCCCATATTCAAGAAGCTAAAAAGATATCTGACAAAGACTGAGGTTTAGGCAGAAAAGTCTCCCAGAAGATTCTACCTTCAATCTGTAGAGATTCTATTTTTCTTTTCTTTTTTTTTTTGGAGACAGAGTCTCAACTCTGTCGCACTGGGCAGAATGCAGAGGCATCATGGTAACTCACTGTAACCTCAAACTTCTGGGCTTAACCGATTCTCTTGCCTCAGCCTCCTGAGTAGCTGGGACTACAGGCGTGTGCCATGATGCCCACTAATTTTTATTTTTTCTATTTTTAGTAGAGACAGGGTCTCACTCTTGCTCAGGCTGGTCTTGAACTCCTGAGCTCAAGTGACCCTTCCACCTTGGCCTCCCAGAGTGTTAGGATTACAGGCATGAGCCACTGTGCCTGGCTGGGATTCTATTAATATTTTCAATTCTACTTTTGATTTGTAGGAATTGGTATAAAATAGATACATTTATAATGTACTTTCATTGATAAATTGCTGCCTGTTGGTTAGATGCCCCCAACTTTGTGGTTCTTGAAACATGACTTGGAGGAAAGTGTTTAGCAAAACAACCCTGCCCCCAGAGCTACTGAGAGCTGCAAGTGAGTAAAGAAAGGGGCACAGTGCTGAGGATGCTGAGGTGGCAGATACCAGGGGAAGCCTGGGTTTTTCTACATTAACACTGAGAACAAGGAAAGAAAATTGTCTTTCTCTGCTACGGAAGGGATGGTGGAGAGTGCTGGGCTATGTGTAAGGAACTGGGCTGTGCAGCCTGGCTCTAGGTTCTAAAATCAAGCTTCCCTTGGCTCTCAGCAGTCCCTGTTAAATGAATTTTTACCCTGAAGGGTTACCAATTTAGAGTTCAAGTTCTCTAGACACATGTGATTACAATGTGATCAGATCCCAATACCAGCAGAACATATAGAATGTAGGTACATAAAAACAAAGTCACAGCCCTGGAGCGGTGGCTGACGCCTATATCCTAGCAATTTGGGAGGCTGAGGTGAGACGATCGCTTGAGGCCAGGAGGTTAAGACCAGCCTGAGCAAGAGCGAGATCCCATCTCTATGAAAAATAGAAAAACTAGCTGGGGGTGTGGTGGCGCATGCCTGTAGTTCCAGCTACTCGGGAGGCTGAGGCAGGAGGATTGCTTGAGTGCAGGAATTTGAGGTTGCAGTGAGCTGTGATGGTGCCACTGCACTCTAGCCTGGGTAACAGAGCAAACCTGTGCCTCAAAAACCAACCAACAAAACCCAAAACAAACTCATTGGAAATGTGACATTCTAGGCAGTATGAGTTGCAAGGTTGCATCAATGCTACAATCCACTTCATAAAACTACAGGGGTCCCTCCTTATCTGCAGTTTCATTTCCTGCAGTTCTGCATTGTCAACAGTGGTTTGAAATATTAAATGGAAAATTCCAGAAATAAACTATTCATGAGTTTTAAATTGCACGCCATCCTGCTCTGTTGCCCAGGGCATGAATCATCCCTTTGTCCGGTATATCTAGGCTGTAGGTGATCCCCACCTGTTAGTCACTGGGTAGCCATCTCAGTTATCAGACTGAATGCTGCGGTACCACAGGGCTTGTGTTCAAGTCGCCCTTACTGGACAAAACAATGACCACAAAGTGCAAGAGTAGTGACACTGGGATTTGGATATGCCAAAGAGGAGCTATAAAGCATCTTCTTTAAATGAAAAGGTGAGTGCATGAAGTGAAAAAGGTGAAAGTTCTTGAGGTTGCTAAGATCTACAATAAGAATGAATCTCCTATTTGTGAAACTGTGAAGAAGAAAGAAATTCATGCTAGTTTTGCTGTCACACCTCAAGCTACAAAAGTTGAGGCCACAGTGTGTGGTAAGTGCTTAGTTAAGATGGTGTCACATCTGTGGCTGGAAGGCATGAACAGAAACATGTTCTGATTGACAGCAATCAGGTTCAATACTATGTGTGGTTCTGGGCACCCACTGGGGTTCTTGGAACATATTAATATTCCCCTCAGATAAGGGGGACCACTGGGATGGCTATAATTCAAACACAAAAACTTTGAGAGGATAAAATCAAAATATAATAGAAGAAGTGATGGTATAAAAATATACTAGCATGGTCTTTTACTTACATCAAAGTGCTGGAAGAAAAATGAAGTACATTGAAGAACATTAACCCTGTACTTCAAATGTAACAAAAGAAGGTATTTGTTTCCAGCTTAGAGTTTCTCCACTTCATTCATGTCATTACAAGAAATAGGTTTGTTTTTCCAATTATCAAGTGAACCCAGGAAGGAAGATGTGTTGTTCCCTTAAGTTTAAATCTACTTAATCAAACTGAGGTGTGAGGAATTCTTATTTTTGTAGCTCCTTACCTGAGCAGAGAGCCAGTAACTAAACAGAAGCCCCAGAATCAGAAATTCCATATTCATGAGAAGAAGCTATTTTATATTTTTTTTCCCTGTGCTACTTGTGTGGAGTACATTTCCTCTGTTTATAGATTGGAAGACAAGAGAGCCTACTTTATTTTAAAATGGAACTACTAAAAGGTCAGGGGTCCTCTTGTCCTTTAAAAGTTCTCTAAAACCCATATTCAGACAGCATCACAAATCTAAAACAGAGGATTTGGACAATTTTTAGGATGAAAAATACAGGTGGGAAATCAGGCTGAAGATCTTGCTGACTCCAAATATGGCAGGGAAGAGACCAAAGTAGGTATCATTTACCCACTGTAACCACTTAGAAACTCTGGACATTATTTCACAACAAATAGCATGATGTCTAAAAACTTTTTATTTTTTATATCTCAGAAGTTGGAAAGCCTTTAAAAAAGTCATCACTTTATGGTTCAACATTTCAGAGTCTGGCATCAAGTAAATGATTTTTCCTGAGAAATGCTATTATGGCTTAAAGTTTACCATGCATTAGCATGATAAAAATGAGGCCATTACATGTTCTATCTCATTATGGAATACTGTGTACAGTAATGAATCCATAATGTACTGTGCCACCAATCAATATTCCAAATATAACTCTAATATCTATCTCCTGGGAAAGAGAATACGATGGTAGGGGAAAAAGGAGAAGTGGGAGGTGGCTATTGACCTAAACAGCTATCCAATAATTATTTTGTCTTTGCATAAATAAAAGTATAAAGACTTATGCATCTGATGATTAGGAAAGGGATTTTATTAGCTCAATGCCAATAAAAAGACTGTTTTATATTATTAAAGATTACTAACTAAAATGTATATACATATACCAGCTTTCCTTTGGACAAAAGACCATATTCACATTTTTGTGGTTATCATCTTCCAGATGATCATTTAATAGGACCAGTCCAAAAGTTATTAATGTTAGATCACATATAAGATAATGTTCTCTCCCTCCCTCCTCCCAGGATGGCCCAAAATATGCTAATCTAAAAACCTGAAAATGGTCCACACATTTGACAAATATTTATTGAGTACCTACTATGTGTCAAGCACTCTTCTGGGTGCTCTAGCTACATTAATGAATAAAATAGACAAAATCTGTCCTTGTGTAGCTTATATTCCAGTAGGAAGACACAGGAAATAATAAATAAACCTATTATATTGAATATTACAAGATGATAGGTGCTATGGAGAAAGATACAGCTGGGAAGCATATCATAATTTGTAACAGGGTAGTCAGAGTAGGCTGCCCTGAGATGTTTGGAAAGGTGCTTGAAGGAGGTAAGGAAATTAGCCATGCCGATACCTCAGAGAAGAGTGCTCCAGGCAGAGTATAAAGGCCCTGAGTAAAGAACTTGTCTGGTTTGTTTGAGAAACATCAGGAAGCCAGTGGGACTGCAGTGAATATGGGAGGAAGAAAGTAGCAGGAGTCTACATAGGGCCTTCTAAGCCAATGCAAGGATTCTGGCCTTAACTTTGAGTGAGATGGAAAATCATCGAAGGTTCTGACCAAAGGACTGACATGATCTAACTCACATTTTTAAAGGATCAGTTCCCTGGCTGCTATAAGAAGAGACTGGAGAGGAGTGAGGGTGACATAGGAGGACCAGGTAAGAGTCATGACAATAGTTCAGGTGAGACATGATGGTGGCTTAGAGCAGGGTTATAGTAGTAGGAGTAGTGAGAAGTAGCAGATTCTGAATAATAGTTTGAAGATAGAGCTAATAGGATTTGCTGAGCAACTGAATATGGGATATGACAAAAAGAGTAATAAAAAATGACTCCAATTTTTTTTGGTCTTAGGAACTAAAATGGTAGAGTTGCCATTAATTGTGATGGAAAAGTTTGAGGTGTCTATTGAAATCCAAGTGGAGAAGTCAAGTAGGTAGTTGGATATTTGAGTCTAGAGTTCAGTGAACAGGTTTGGGCTGGAGATACAAGTTCAGGAATTACTAAAATTATATGGTACTTAAAGCCATATGACAGAATGAGCTTTTTTTTTTTTTTTTTTTGAGACAGAGTCTCACTTTGTTGCCCAGGCTAGAGTGAGTGCCGTGGCGTCAGCCTGGCTCACAGCAACCTCAATCTCCAGGGCTTAGCGATCCTCCTGCCTCAGCCTCCTGAGTAGCTGGGACTACAGGCATGTGCCACCATGCCCGGCTAATTTTTTGTATATATATTTTTAGTTGGTCAATTAATTTATTTCTATTTTTTGGTAGAGACGGGGTCTCGCTCAGGCTGGTTTCGAACTCCTGACCTTGAGCAATCCGCCCGCCTCGGCCTCCCAAAGTGCTAGGATTACAGGCGTGAGCCACCACGCCCGGCCCAGAATGAGCTTTTTAACAGAGAGCTTGCAGACGGGAAGAGGCCCAGTGACTGAGGTGTAGAGTACTCCATGGTTAAAAGGTAAGGGAAGTCAGGCAAAACCAGAAAGGAGATTTCAACAAAATAGCCAGTGCCATAAGAAGGCAGTAAGGAGGGTACTGTGTCCTGGAAAGTGCACAGTGTTTCAAGGAGGAGGAAATAATAAGGCCAAATGCTACCGATTCTCAGTTAACCAACTGAAAATCGACTACAGGATTTAGCAAAGTGGAAGTCAACAGTGATCTTAACAAGAACTGTCTCTAGTGAAATGGTGGGTGGGAAGACAGACTGACTGAAGTAGGTTCCAGAGAGATTAGGAGAGGAAATAAAGATAGCAAGCACAAATATCTCTTAGAAGAATTTTGTTGTCTAGGGGAGGACAAAAAGAGCAGAAGCTAAAAGGGGAAGCTGGGTCAAGAGTGTTTTGTTGTTGTTGTTGGTCTTGTTTTTTTGATGGAAGAAATACTAGTATGTGTGCTGGTGGGAATGATTCAGCAGAGCAGGCTAGTATTGCCATGGGCATGGCCTTAAGTAAATGGAAAAAGATGGGATCTAGTGTTTAAGTTGAGGTAAACCAACACAGGTATACCAACAGTCCACCTGTAATAACAGGAGGGATAACAGTATAGTATATAAATAACAAATGTTTTTTTTTTTTTTTAGTTTTTTGGGGTTTTTTTTTGAGACATAGTCTCGCTTTGTTGCCCAGGCTAGACTGAGTGCCGTGGCGTCAGCCTAGCTCACAGCAACCTCAAACTCCTGGGCCCAAGCAATCCTACTGCCTCAGCCTCCCGAGTAGCTGGGACTACAGGCATGCGCCACCACGCCTGGCTAATTTTATCTATATATATGTTAGTTGGCCAATTAATTTCTTTCTATTTATAGTAGAGACAGGGTCTCACTCTTGTTTAGGCTGGTTTCGAACTCCTGACCTTGAGCAATCCGCCCGCCTCGGCCTCCCTGAGTGCTAGGATTACAGGCATGAGCCATTGCGCCCCGGCCAATAACAAATGTTAATAGTGGGTTTATGTGGTTGCAAAGCTTGTGGAAGTTCTCTTCTGTTTCCTTTGTGAAACATGGGAGGATTTATGGGAGACTTGGAGAGAGAGGATATTTGATGATTGTCCAGAAAAGTGGGAATGTGAGTGGACTAGGGAAATGTGTATGGATTGCCAGATGGCATGAAGTGCCTACGTGAGGTTAATGGTCATGAATTGAAGGTGTATTTCTCCCAGCAGCATATAGCTGCACAGATGTAGGGACAGACCAGGCAGTATGTTGGAATTAACAAGGGTTGATATTTTGCCAAGGGAAAGCATTTAAGTGAGGAACAGGAAACTGAGGATGTATGCACCAGACTGTTAAATGGTTGACAACAGATTATATAGGTACACAGTTTGTCTACTCATTTGTGTATTACTACAGACATTTTACTAATGAAGATTAGAAAATCATAAGATCAGAAATGAGACAAAAACATACTGACTGCCTATTATGTGAGAGGTTCTTTGCTAATGCCCTCAAAGAACTTCCAATTTCATAGACTCTTTAAACATAAGATTATCTCCTATAAATAGACTATGAGCACCTTGGAAACACAATTTTTACTTTCTCACTTTCGGTTTTTGTATCACCAACGTCTAGCACAGTGCTTTGTACACAGTAGCTATTCAATAACTACAAGAGATGGATTGCTGAAATAAAGCATTCTAGGAGAATTCAACATGAGTTGTGGAGGGTAAGGATAGTATTAATAACTTCGGTCTATGAAAGGGAGACTAGCTAGGATGAGTAGCTTTGGCATGAACCCAAATGTCAACCTAATCCGATCTTCGAATTTCTTGGCACAATGCCTGCATCCATTCATACCGGACGGTGGCTTCACCTGGTCAGGTCTCACCAGCCACGTATGCCCCAGTATGAGAAAAGCGCTGTAGGATATTGAGTTTTCCATCAGCACCGGCATTCATGCAAAGACCTCGGGCGGGAATGTCAACCACCAAACTAAAGACTGTAGTAGAGGACCCTGCCCCTCACGGTCCCCAGATCCCGCCGCGCCATTTTCTTTCCAAAGACACGCCACACCTGACAACTCACGCATATAGTTATCTTCAGCACACCGTGGTTATAGTCTCGGTACAACTCTTTGGCCTCCTGGTTGCATTCGATGCACCTGTACTGGCAGGAGTCCGAGACAGCGGTAGGAGTCGCTGCCACTCCATCATCTGCCTTCCCCTTCCCCGGGCGCAGCCCGCCGCGCCCGCCGTTGCCCATTTCACTCAACAGAGGCCCAGAACTTCCGATCCAGTGGCTGGGAAGACGTCAGACGCCAGACCGGAAGACCCGCGCCACGCGGGGCCTGCCGGGATTCGTAGTCCCAGTCCCGGAAACGGGGCCCGAGGCCGACCAAGTCGGGACTACAACTCCCAACAGGCAATGCTCCCCCTGCTCCGCCCCCTTGCCACGGCCCACCTGCCCGCCGAGGGTAGAGGAGGGGAGGCCTGGGAACCCGGCGGGGGCTGCCGCACATGCGCCTTGAGGGAAGATGGCACCTGCTGGCTGCTGCTGCTGCAGCTGGGGCGGCGCTGTGGCCGCCGCGGGCGCCGCCTGGCGCGTCCTGCTGCTGCTGCTGCTGCTGCTGGGGGTCCTGTCCGCCGGGCCGCGCCTGGGCGCCCTGGCCACCGAGCACTACTCGCCGCTGTCCCTGCTCAAGCAGGAGCTGCAGCACCGGCAGCAGCAGGAGGCCCCGGCGGGCGGCGGCGGCTGCAGCCCGCAGTCCCGGGACTGGGGGGACCAGTACTCTGCCGAGTGCGGCGGTGAGTGGGCGGCGGCGGGCGTGCGGTCGTCCGGGGCCAGGGGGCGGCGGGCCCCGGGGCCGGGGTGCGGGCGGCCGGGCCTCACTGCCTCCAGCGGCGGCGTGTGCTCGGGGAGCCGGCTCCGCGAGGGGTCCTGGCGGCCGGCTTCCCGCCGCTCCCACCCACGCCTCCGCGCGCCCTCTCCCGCGGCAGTCTCGGGGAGGGCGGTGAGTAGAGAGCTGACGGCGTGCTCTCGGGCCGGGCGGCCTCTCCGGAGTCTGAGGCAACTCTCGGGAGGGTGGAGGGGGGATGGCAGGTGGCCCGGGGCAGCCCTGTTCCGCCGCCGCCCTCCCGCGGGTGCCGCGGGGACAAGGGAAGGGCGAGCGGGCGGGCGGACGGAGCCGGCCGGGCGGCTGGCAGAGCCCGTCCATGGAGGGGCATGCTTGACCCATCCGAGGCCTGGAAACCGGGTTTCCTGACGTCCGGGTCGATGTCTTGTATTGAACACAGTCCCTAAGAATTAGATCCCTGGAAGAAAGAAGAGAAAGACCAAGCCCGTTTTATCTGCTTGTTGACATCTTGTTTCCAGTTAAGATTGACCTGTGATCTGTCAGGTGCCTTCCGGAGGGTGATGGGGCCCTGCAGGCCAGGAGCCTGTCTGTGTGTGTCCGAGCTGTGTGTGCATTGGAGCTACGCCAGCTCATTCATTAAGATTGGGTGTTACTGCCTCGGTTTAATAAGTCATGGCAGAGGCCTCTGCGGCAAAATACATGTGTACAATTTTTTGCTTTGAAGTTCTATAGTGGGTCTTTTTACCCTTCAATCCCCCCACCCCCTTCTCTTTCCCCTTGGCGAGTTCCCTTATGGCTTGCTTTGAAAAGGGCCTGGGTCTACTCACTGAGAGATGGCTGGTCGTTTTTAAGGCTTGATGGCAGTGTTCTTAAGCACTGTGTACCTAGGAAAACAATACCTATTTTTTTTTTTTTAGTTGAGATGAGATGTCAAGATTAGCACAATCTTATTTCCTTTTAGCACAATCTGACTTCCTTGAGGAAGTCTCACTCATTGAGGGCTATGTGACTTCTTTATTTTGTGGTAGGCCTTAGCTGATAACAGCATGAGTAACATGGCCAGCATTGCATAGTGGAAAAAGAATGGCTTTTATTTCTGTCACTTTCTATGTCTCTGAGCAAGTAAATTACCTGTCTTTGCAAAATTGCCTCCTCTGTAAATGGAAGACACTGTTGAACTAATTACAGGGTTTTATTTTCCTCACAAGGGTGCTGTGAGGAAAATGAGAAATAGCTGACATGTATTGAGTGCTTGCTGTATGCCAGTTGCTATTTTAAGCACTTTAGGTCTATTAGCCTACTATATCAATCTGTCAGAAAAACAGTAACTTCCTGATTGGATGGTAGCTCCTCTTCTGTGATGAGGAAGTTGAGGCATAGTGAAATTGTCACCTTCCTGAGGCCCCACAGCTGTTAAAAGAGGAACCCAGGTAGTCAGGCTTCAGACAAAGCTTTTATCGTAACCACTGGTTAGGAAAACACATCTGCAGTGTTTACTAGCATATGTTACATATTGGGTAAATTTTCCTTTCCCCTTTCCTCCTATTGTCACGTGATGCTCACTGGCTAAAGGAGGCCCAGATCTTAAGCAGTAGAAGATATCTATCAATTAATGTTATGAAATCTATTGGTATTATTGATGTAGGTGGCTCATTTCATTCTGTGGCATCAGCTTAGTCAAGTATTTAAGAATCCTTGTTTGATCCAACTCTGACTTGCATTCAGATTTTACCCCAGATAAAGATCAGTGTAGTTTTTATAAATAGGCAATTGGAAGAATCCTTCTTACGTATGGAGAACATTATCTAATGTTCTGCTTCAGAGAGTGAGCACTGTATTATGAGGCTTTAAACATAATTTATTTAAATGTTTCAATTTTCTTTTTATCTCCTCCATGTATTATAGTACTTATTTTCTTAGTTTGGAATTTAAAATGTTCTGTCGTAGGGGAGCAGCATGCATCTTTCACATAGCCTCCGCTGGCTGTTCCAATAGCTGCCAGGTGCTAAAGTGGCTTGGCTGCTGTTGTATTCACCCAGTAAGTCATTTCCAGAGTCAGCTCCTCATGCTGCTTGGAGCTCTACCTGTTTCCCTCAGCTTTACTGGCTGAAGCTTATGAAAAAACTCACTTCTGTTGTTATAGAGGCTCCTGAAACACCTCTTATTTCTTTTTCCTCACCTTGGACAACTAGGTAGAAGCTGGACCTTATAAAACCTGCTTCATTTCCTCTCTGTCCTAGGATATAGGGACAGGTTCAAGATTTACAACTAACCACGTCATAGTCTGAGGGGAGGCTGATGTTCTCCAGAGTCCCCATCTGATCAACATTAGGTTCTAAATGAATGCCAGGATGCAGAACTAATCAGTTCTTCAGAATCACACAGGTCTGACCTCACCAACCATTGATTATGCCATTGTCACTTGCTTGCCTATCCAGCCACAAACCTGTTCATATGAAGCCAGTCCATATACTGAGGACAGACGCAGCAGTACAACCACTTTTCGGAATGCTTTCTACAGCTTTCAAGTTCAAATAGCAAAGTTGATGCCTGCTTGGGTCTAAATCTGCACACTTTGTGATGAGCAGTATGTGTATTCCCTTAGGACAGTACCCCCAGTGATTGCAGGTGCAAGGACAGCTGCTGTTAGGAGCCCACCAATCTGAAGATAACACACTGGCAATGCCTGCCCTAGCTGTGCACACCAACATTAAATGGAATCTAGGTCCAAGGGAACAGCCTAGTACTCAGTGGACTGAGCCCTGCCCAGATCCACTACACAGGCAGGAAGCATGGATGACCCCTGGTGCCATGTCTCAGCCTGAGCTTTTCGTGTTCCCCAGCACTCCCTTTAGCTTTTTCTCCCTAGCACAGTTTTACGTTACACCTTTATGGAGACAGAGTCTTACCTGGTTGCTCAGGCTGGAGTACAAGCAGCACAATCATAGCTCACTGCAGCCTCAAATTCCCAGGTTTAAGTAATCCTCCTACCTTAGCTTCTCAATTAGCTGGGACTACAGGTGTGTACCACCACACTGGGGTAATTTTCTATTTTTTATAGAGACAGATCTTGCCATATTGGTCAGGCTGGTCTTGAACTCCTGGCCTCAGGTGATCCTCCCACCTCAGCCTCCCAGAATGCTGGGATTATAGGCATGAGCCACCCACCCAGCCTACTTTTCACTTTTTTGTTTGAAAAACATGTATAACCACAAACTTACCTCTTTGTTTTCCTGGGGAGAAAATAATCTTACTCTTTTAAGGAAATGAGCACTGGTTTGTATGTGTTTTTGAAATAAAAGTAAATTTTCCTTCCTTTGCTTTTTAACTTGGCCCTATTTTAATTGTAATTGTGGGAGGAAATAATGAACAAAAGTTTTTCTCAATTCTTTTCTCCAGTTTTGCAGTTACATGGTTGTAAACATCCTGTGCAATCTTAATCCTCTTGCCACTGAAGTAGGTGCTGTTTTTATCCTGTTTACCCAAGGGGAAACTGAGGCAAGAGAAGTTAAGCAAGGTGACACACAGTAAAGAGTAGAGCCAGGGTTTGAACCTGATCTGACCATTTTTGTGTGTGTTATCTTCCATAATATTTGCATATTAGTACGCTTTCTTATAATGACATTGATAAAGTCCTATACCCTTAAGCTTTATTGAACATCATATTCTTAAATAATTTCTAGAATTTCATATTTGTTATACAAATACAAGAATACATCATTGAACATATTATTTGGTACTATAGAGCTAGAATGGATCTGTTTCTTTCATTGAAAAACAATCCATATGCCTATTAGATACTTTTCAGTGTTGTAGACCCTGGTGCTGTAGTAGCACAACTGACCAAGTTCCTAACATGGAGTCCCTTGGTGAGAGAAGAAATAAGTACAGTCATACAGTGCTTAACAGTGGGGATATGTTCTGAGAAATGTGTCCTTAGGTGGTATTGTCATGTGAACATCATAGAGTGTGCTTACACAAACCTAGCTGGTATAGCCTACTGCACACCTAGGCTATCCGGTACGGCCCATTGCTCCTAGGCTACACACTGGTACCAGTGTGTAACTGTACTGGATGCTGTGGGCAGTTATAACACAATGATAAATGTTTGTGTATCTAAACATAGAAAAGGCACAGTAAAAAAATGGTGTTATAATCTTATGGGATTACTGTCATACATGTGTATCATCACGCACGACTGTATATGATAGGCCCAGTGGTACGTGCCTTGAAGAATAAAGTAGCACAAGAGGATAAAGAGTAACGTGGAGGTGCTACTTTAAAAGGTGGACAGACATGATGGAGACTCAGACTTTTGGGGGGAGGGGGGAAAATGGGCATTTATTGAAACCTTAAAATCTGTACCCCCATAATATGCCGAAATAAAAAAAAAAAAAAAAGGTGGACAGAGAGGGCCTCAGGTAAGGTGACATTTTAGAATAAGATTTGGAGAGATCTCAGAGATATCTTAATTTGACACCCTCATTTTATGGATCTGGTAAATAAGGTCTGGACAAATTGTAACTTGTTCATTGTTTTAAGAATTCAGGTTCTCTGCTCTTCTCAAGCTAAACTGCATCTCATTCAGATGTAGCATTCATCTTGTATTAGATATATCTTTATGGACTGTCTAAGAGGTGTTTTAATAGTTCAAACGTATGCAATTTTAGTAATTGTTTCAAAAATACTTTTGTTTTCTTCCTTTGAAAATGTAGTAAACTAAGAACAGTGAGTTTATGTGACTTTTTTTGTTTGCTGCCTTCCAACTTTTTAAACTGCTCCTAAGGGATGCAGTCTTGTACTTGATGTTTTAATTTTATTTAGTTTGTAGAAACTAATAATCCCAGAATTGAGTTTCTTTTCCTACAGTTCTTTGTGGAGAAAAGAACATTTGGTGTCTGTCCAATTTGGGAGTTGTTAACTGCCAGAGAAATAGGGAAGTATCTACGA